AAAAAAAAAAAAAAAAAAACAAAAGTCTTTGAGACCTCACTAAAGTCCCTCTAGACAAATAAAAAGCATAAGAAGGGTAATTGAATCTCTTTTCTACTCATACGAAAATTGATATAAAAAGCATAGGATTCCGATTGTCTCATCTCTACCAATTGTTATCCGAGCTCTATTCTCTATCCTCTATCCTCAACCATGTTATTGATAAATTTTGCTCGTTATTAACTTGCGGTATGTTGTGTATTTGTTTCTCGTGCAAGCTTTTACAAAGCAAGTACATGTTTTAAGTTCATTCTAATGAGACATAACCTGCTTTCCCTCTCTCTTCTTGTTTCCCCATAAAGATGAAAAAGTTAGTCCAATTCATTTCAACCTACTTAAATAAATGTGTCATGTGTGATGTGCTATTTTGTAGGTGGAGTTGCAGCCAACTAACAACAGTTTATTAAATATGGTCTTACAAATAAGCATTTTCTTGCTTTAAATCATGTAGATGAATGTAGCCTTCAGGTTTAAGAACAAGAGAAAATCTCAAAAAAGAAAATGCAAACAGCACCGAAACATCAAAACATGTCCTATTCAGATCACATCCAAAATGGTCGTCAAGAAAAGGGATGCCTCTATGCATGGTTTGTGTCTCTTCCTAATTAGCTAGTTGTATTTGTAAATCGAAAATTTAACTCGTTTTACTGCAGGTTATTTGCATTGTGTTGCTGTTGTTGCTGCGCTGAGGCTTGTGAATGCTGTTTGGACAGTGTTTGTTGCTGCTGCATTTGAATTTAAAGGGGTTTCACATTGTCAAAGCTTACACATCCCATTGGTGATTATTAGCAAAATATTGAAAGAATTGGTACCTTTCTGCATCTAATTTGAATAAAGTTGTAACCTTTTATTGAATCTCTCATCTTAATGTTATTAAATGTTAAACTTCTTCGGTAATTAGTAGCTTTATCAGCTAATCAAATGTACAAATGAGATGTATACAAAAGCATATTGAAATTATGATCTATCCCTAAAATGCATACCTCATCGACATTATTGAACAGTGTAATGAACAATATTTAAACGTCTTCAATCTTACAAAACAAGCCAAAAGGATAAATCAGGCTTGATCAACATTTTGTTAACCTAAATGTTGGTAAAGTTTGAGCAGCTTGAGTAGATTTGAACAGCAGATGATCTCTATTAGTTTAACAGAAATTTACAGTTAAAATTTTTGTTTTATATTTGCTTCATTTCCTCTCTCTATTTGATCTTTTAAATAAGTTATCAGCACAATGGTTGTCAGGTTATCACAAAAAATAATCATATCAATATCTACGATCCAATGCTAGGACAATCTAGGAGGTATTTGACAGGACTAGAAGTACAATGGCATCCTTGATCATAATTTCCAGTATGAGTACTACATCCAATGTGACAGTTTTAACGGTAGTAAACTAGCGTACTTCCTGTTTGGACCTGGTAATCTTTTTATCTTCTTTCTCCCTTAAATACTTTCTAATATTGTCGAGTCTACCTTAGTACCTTACCAAACATTGTATAAGATCGCTCTCCTTAACTATCAGATGGAGATATTTATTGGGTAAGTTATATAATTTCTTTTTGCAACGTCTTCCTCTAATTAATTAGAAAAATCAGAGATAAAGATTTACATGAATATTACATTAATACTAACCCTAGCTTAGAAGCAAAATCACTAAACCTATCAAAAGCATTGGCATTTGTATTTGCATTTCAATAAACAGGAAAAAATTAAAAAGAGAAAATCATGGATGCACCAACATACCAAGAGATTTCATATGCTGATCACATGAAACAACAACACGAGAAGTAAGGCTGCTATTTGGACGTTTGCTGTTGTAACTGCACCTAATTTTGTTGCATGGGGGGGACTCTCGGGCTCTAGATTTGCTGGTCGGAAAAGTTTCTGCTATCTGTACAAATAAATAATAATTATAAAAATGAAATGTGAATCATAGGTATCTTATTTTATAGCTCTGTCCAGGATCTAGCTCATCCCAGGAGAAGGAACAATTTTAATAAAATCTGTCTCCAAGAATAACTTTCATGTTTTTTTCAGTCGTCAATACAATAAGGGCCTCTTTGGTCCCAGTACTTGACAGGACTGAATGATGGGAATGGACAAGATTTTAGCTTTTTCTCTTCCCTCACGTTGTCAGTACTATCCTATCCACCTTACCAAATGCTAAAGCATTGTGATGCCTTCGTTTTCCTTAAGTTGGAAGGAGATTTTCGAGTGAAATAGGCATTACTACCTTGAATCTTCACATCTTTTACATGATAATAACGATATCAATAAAAAAAACAGAATAAACGAGTATTTAACAGTACATATATTCCTTCTCTTCACTATGAGTCTCTGACCTGATGATTCATGATTACCTAATTCCCAAGGATGGGATTCCTGCCTTCATCAATTTCGACGACAAGCAAATGTTTGGGATTTGAGCCATTAGGTCCTTCCAAGTAGAGGGTAGGGAGGTAGGCCTTGTATGCTGGCAAATATCGTGAAACAAAATCCATAACCTATAATCACAAGACCAAGAAACAAAAAGAATTTAATTTTGAGAGTCAAATTGTATGTCATGATTCTTGCAAGTATTAACCATACTGTCTAGAAAAGAATACTAAATACACCTCCTCGTCAGACATTCCAGGCTTCCCATCAGTCCTCATAGCAATTTCCGCCTGAAGATATCCCACACGACTAGTTAAATAATTACCAAATGAAATAACATCTACAGCATGTTTTGCTAAGCTTAAGTTCACTCATAAGTACACAAGTGAGTTATAAATAAATGACTTCTTTTCATTGGATAAAATTGAAAATAATTTACTTATTTTGCAACTTTTTTTACTTTTAAAGTAAAAAAGTAGGTCATCCAATCATTTTTGGGAAGGAAAGGTTAAAAAGGAAAGGTTAAAATTAACTTTACTTTTTTTTTAAGCCTAGCCAAACATGCTCTAGCAAGGGTTAGAACAAGGATAGCATCAGCACAACCAACCTGCAGTTGCCATTGATAGACACAACTGGGATCTTGAATCTTGATTACTATCCAAGAGTTGATAAACTTGTCCCATGCATCGTAATAAGCTTCTAATTTTTTATTCACCGTCTCTAGCTGCAAAATTAAGTTTTAGAGTTAGCTTAATGGCTTTTGTTTGACTGAAATACTGAAACAGAAAATTTGAGGAAAGAAGTGACACTTGAACCTGTGGATCAACTGCTTTAACAGCTTCAGTCAGAAGGGGTTTAAAACCAAGCATCCAACCCTCAAACAGTATAACCTAATGACCAAGAATAACCTAAGAACAACCATGATAGCGAAAAGCTTATATTTCAGTCCTGACGTTGCCCCTGTTTGATGCCCATTAAAAAGAGTTTTTTGGGAAAAATGAGTTTTAGAATAGTGAATTTTTTTTTTTTTTGGAGAATGTGTGGTTAAAAAATAGGGAAATGTTTTAGGTTTACGTGCAAAATATTTTATTGTGAGAATGTGTGGTTGAAAATGAATTTTAGAAAAAAAAATTGGAGAACAGTAGACAAACAGTGGTTTAATAGGAAACACAGTAGAACTAACATTCAATCGGTTCTGGGCATCACACCTAGTATATTTTTTCTCCTTCAACCAGGATGGTTGGGGAGCCAAAAAAAAAAAAAATGATTCCAGCAATAAATAGAATAATCCACCTACCGTTAGAGGCCCTTCAACTTCTGGCCACATTGAAGGATCAACTCTGTTGCCTCTACCATTGTATGCAGACTGCAATTAGAAAATTAGGGACTTCGAATTCCAAACATGACTGAAATACGCAAGTCTGCAGTCATGTGGCTTACCTTATCATATCGAGGTAGCTTAATTTTCATACCTAAATGTAAATACATGTGAACCTCATTACGCCACTATGATATGTTTTTAAAAAATAAGCATGAAAACAATAATGACCAATGTGCACACCTTCTTTAGTCAATTTACCCAGAGCTGTAAGAGTCTCAATAGACAGAGAAAGATCATGGCTTCCAGCATTTCCACGAAACTGAGAGGTCAAAGAGTTGTATCTTTTCTCTAATCAAAAAACCTTTTCAAGTGAAATGCTCAAATTGTTCCGAAGGGTTAAAAAGAAAAATACCTCCAAAAGTGCATTACTGGGATTGCTATCCCTTAATCTGGCCTGAAATCAGTATTACATTACATCTCAGTGGGAAATTCATAGGCATGAGGTAAGGCTTGGTTGCTTTCTGAGTATTTACCTGATCTTCTGCTGTCAAATAAAAATCGTCGATGGATATTGTCGCAGAATTCCTGAGATTAAGGTGTCAGTATCTTCTCTTAGTTTTTATGGTTTCATTTACACAACCGAGATGACTCTTATTTTCAACAAACATCACCATTTGGTATTCTACCTCCCAGTCATTCGGAAGAGAAAATCTAGTGCAAAGACGAGTGTTGTTTTTCCACAACCTTGTGGTGCACTGAAACCAATCTGCATCAAAAATATTATAAACAAATAACCATGTCAACTTAGGCAATTTCTATTGTGTTTCTGGATCTTGAAACACTGTCCACATATGCAACAGCCTCAGACCCATCGCCAGCAACTTCAGCAAAAAATAAATGGAGTGGAAGGATGTTTGGCTAAGCCGCTATGTTTAAAAAAGTTTTATCGGTAAATAAGAAAACTTTAAAACAAATAATATTTTTGTTGGCCAAAGTAGAAAAGTAGTTTCTATCATTCAAATAAGTAACTTCTTTAGTTACAAGTAAAAAAAGTAACTTATCCAATATGTTGGAGAAAAACTTAATGGAAAATAAGTTTAAATTAATTTAAAGCATAGCCAAACGAGCTCTAGAACAAGAAATAATTTGAACAATGTAAATGTACCACTAGAGGGGGTATATCATCTCCTTCTCAAAACATAGAATAATGATGAGAAATTTCTTGTTCACACCACATGAAGACTGGTATGTAGTAATGGTAGATTCGAACTTTCTGAGGCTCAGTTAAAAATAGTTCATTGAGCTGAAATAGTCTACAAAGTTGAGATCCATATAATATCCACTTGTCAATAGACTCGGACACCTTCTTTGGGGTAAGGTTAGTCTGGTTTACAAGGGGACCTGTGCATATAAATTCAAAAAGGTCCTGCACAGAAGAAACTTGCGCGGGTGTTGTAGGAAAAACTGAAAGTAAGGGGCCTCGTGTCCTTCCATTAGTGGTAACATTATCAAAAAAGGGCGAATTGTCCTGTATCCATGAACATCCACTTCCTGCATGAACAATAATAGTGTTTTGAGGAAAAAGAAAGCGAAGTAATTTAACAGATTTTTTTTTGAGAACTATATGAAATTAAGGTCTCCAATCAGCATATCCCCATGAGTACAAGATATATAGATTGTTTTCAACTCAAACCAATAAAGGAAGGGAAGGGGAGAGAGGATATTATAACCCTGTGGTAAAAAAATTGACTGGAATCATACAACCAAATGGCGGTTACTTATTTGTTGACAGCATCAATAAAAATCAAAAAGAACACAAATATTTTTTTGTTCTTCAAAGCAGAGTGTTTAATATTTACTAGTTTGGATTAAGAATTCAAACTCAATTGCCAAACAATATGATTTCTACGATTAGTTGTCTCTTCTATATTTTAACCAAAACCCGATCTTGGGGCTTCCACACAACATGCTTGAAGTTAGCAATAGATCTTAGTGTCTAGAGTTCATGCTGACTCTGAAACCACTAGAACCTGAATCGAAGTCCTACAATGTCCTGGAACTGGCTATGGCTCTTGTCTCAGATTAATATTTATAGGAGAGAAAAAGGGTTTCTTATTCCGAGAGTTTAAAGTTCCCTTCTTTAACATAAGAGCTCACAATTTGCCACAGGTCATCTATTCCAATTTCATGGAGAAAACCAAAATTCAATGAGAGCTGCTTTGTTCAAAAAGTTGTTTTCTGTCTTATCTTTTCGATTTAATGCAGGCAGGAAGCTAGAGTTCAATCCAACTTAATAATTAAAGAGCAAATAACAGTATAACAACATAAGAAATAAAATGCATCCAAATTTCTAGAAAAAAAAACACAAACTAAACAAACCTGTTATGAGTTAAAATCCCTAAATTTTTCTTTTCAGTTAAATAAACCATTTCTCACTAATGAGTCGTGCTTTCTATAGAATCAAAGAGAAATATGAAAATATTTGCAAAAGTAACAATCAAAATCCAACATTTACTACAGCAACTCCAGACTAATTCAAACATAAAATTGCATCCAAAAAGTACAGAATGATCAGAATAATAATATAATATAATCCAAACGAAAACCGAAAATTTACCCCCTGCCCGGCCCCAAAAAAGAGCTTCGTATATCACCTGATAAATGCGTTCGCTGAGGAAACATTTGAGGCGTCGGGAGCTTCGATTTAGCTGTTGCCGTTGTTCTTCCACATTTACATATAGAATTAGATACCGACGCATATTTTTGACAAACTGTGTTAATATTATTATTGTATTTACAGATAGATGGCTGAGTAGAGGCTGTCGTCAGCTGCCATGGATTTGGGGGCTGGGATAATATATTTAACGCCGCCATCGTCGATTTCTTTCTCTCTCTAAAATTGCGGGAGAATCCAAGTTACGTGATAACGGTTAAATTGATCAATTCCCAATTAGCTTGGGTTGGCTTAGGAAGAGTCGGACCTTTGCCACCTAGAGAATACGGGAAAAATTTCAATAGAAGTCACTCAATTTCCAAGCTTGTTTCATGTTGGTGCAAATTAAATTTGATCAACTAACTTACATTTTAATTTCAAATTATTGTTAACTAATACATCCATTAAAGATGAAACAAATAAACAATGAATAAGGGTTTGGAGCATTGTGTTACTCCTTTTAACTAGATTAACTTTTTAAAATGGAACCACTGATTTTAATATGATTTCAAACACTATTAAGTTCAGATGAGTAATTCGATTCATCTAAATCTAGCGGTGACAAAAAAGCTCGGAGGCTCGGGCTAGGTGGAACCGAGCCCAGGCTCAAGCCCAGGCTCGGGCCGAGCCCCACCTTGGGGAGTCTGCTAGAGCCGGGGCCGGCCCGTGGCCCTGACGAGCCTCCTATTTAAAAAAAAAAAAAATTTGAAGGCAATTGCAGCAACAGGCAGCTACGAAAAAAAATCAAAAAATTCGAGCCGACTTGGCCCGCTAAAGCTCGGGCCGAGCCTCATTTTTTTTGGTCGGACTCGACTCGACTCGTTAACATCGCTATCTAAATCTCAAATGGACATTTGAAATTTAAGATCGACATGCTCAAACATGTCATCATCTTAGATGAGCACGTTAAAAATAATAACAAGATCGATATTTTAATATGAACCCAAATTTAAATCCCTATAAAAATTGATAAAATTCTTAACCCGACTAACGGACATTTATATCATTTGCTACAATGAAAGGTCCACTCTTTTCAGGGATTGTTTGACAAAGCGTTTTTGATAAAAGTTGATGAAATGCACAGTTGAAAAGTTGATAAATTATAAGTTGAGTGATTAAATTGAAATTAATCCAATTTTATAAAATGGTAGGTTAGCTTTTCTTTTTTAGTGGCACGTGTAAAATGTAGAAATTAAAAATTATTTTCAGTATTACTTGCTCTCATGCGTTCTCTTTTCCTTCCCATTCATAAAATTTTATAAATTTGCAAGCCTACGAAGGATTATCGATGCTATGCCTCGAAGTCGAAGCGCTCAGGCTCAGCCATACTTGTAAACCTTGGATATGGCATTACAAGAAAGAGGCCAACTCAATGCCTAAGGACAGACGGGAAGAGAAAGACTCGTTTTCTAGTAAAGTTATTATTCTCCTTGAGTCGACCAATTTATCTTAGAAAGAGTGTCTCCATGTGTTCTGGAGAAGTCAAAGCAGCAATATATTTATAAAAGTATAAATGGGTAACGATCAGACATGAATTTATATATCTTCGTTTGCTCCATACGAAGTTGAATTATCTCGTTTTAAAGGTTAAACCGACAAACTTATTCATATAAGTTATGTATTGAACGTAACGAACACTGCCCAACTCCAAACTGACACGATTGTTTCCCAACTTGCCATGGTTGAGTTGAAGTGTCATTAAATGCAAATAAAGCAATCCCATATTTTCTTCTTGAATTATGCTAAATGTACACTCGGTGATTTACATAATGGATTGTACCCTTCTCACATGGAGGAGGGCCCACGAATATTTTATTGTGTATGGGCCCCCTCCATGTGAGGGGGATGTAATCCATTGTGTAACTCATTGTATACATCTAGCATAATTCTTTCTTCTTTATTGCCTATGTGTTACCTTACCTTGTCGATACTTAGGGATGGCAACGGGGTGGGGAGGGGCCCTTGCACCGTTTATTAGCCCGTTGATTTTTTTTTTTTATTTTTAATAATTTATTTTATTGTCTTCATTCATTAGACCGAGAAAAATAATTTTAGTCGTCATTTTCTATTAGAATTAAAGAAATTTCATGAAATTTTATATTTAAAGTATTGAATTCTAAAAATAAAAAATTAAAGAGGGCAGGGCGGAGAGGGGCGGGGCACTCATTACCCGTCCCCGCCTCGTGGCAAAATTTCCCTGCCCCGAATACCTGATCAAGCGAGTAAATCTCACCCCGTTTGGGGTGGGGCTCTGCGGGTATCGATTTTGTCAGATTTTTTTGACATTCCTATCGATACTTTACTCTTATAGGAGAGCGGTCGGCTTGTAGTTGCTAACATCTTAATGCAATTATGCAAAAATTGTCATTTTCAAATCTGATGCCTTGTAAATTTGTAATTGGTATAATATTCCAGGGATAAATTCTGCAGGATAGTGAACATTGTGGTAGACTCTTGAAACCCAGAATTTACGTGAAAAGAGAAATGTTTAGAATCGAGCCCATGGATTTCCCGATTGATCTAATGTCCATACCGCGAGGAATACAGCTTAAGCAGCAATTATGGAAGCGGGGAAGTCCAGGAAACCATAGGTAATCAACGTCCATTAATATTCTCCTAGATAATTGGCCAAGTACTCCAACTCAGGACTCGTGTTCTGCAGATACTCAGTTTTTTCTCTGACCTTTCATCTGGAATTCATCATCTCGGTTTTGGTTCGTCCTTGTTCTTATATCTGTCTACTCTTTACACTAGTGATTCCGCTGCTGCATGTTTGGTGAGCAGCGCTAGATGTAATCATACTGTATGGTGAACATGATTTGAACTTCTTTCATCGTTGTGTTCGTGTGTTTTATAAGCATTTACCAGAACTTTCTTTTCATTGCATGTCATCCAGGATTACAATTTATTTGATACTTTACAAATTATTAGTGTTTGTATTTTTTATATATACGAGCTGAGTTTTTCGTTTTTTAAACAGAATTATGTGCAGCTACTATAATACAGAACCTTTAATAAAGGTCTAACATCAACTCTCCTGGAAGAAAATATATAAATGAATTGTTCTTCTATCTGACTACATAAACTTTCAGATGAACTAAGTTAGCCTCGATTAATTTGGGAAGAGTTTATAAATAAACAGAAATGAGTGATGATAAGTGGATATTACTTGTGGGTTTATTGAAGTGTATGATTAAAATTGCAGTTTGACCGTTTATAAATATTTTATCACCCAGTTTGAGCTCGATTTTTTTTTTTTTAAGAATGTATTTTGGAATAGTAGATTGATGGAGAGTTTGTGGTTAAAAAATAAGGAATTTTTTTTAATTTACGTGTAATATTATTTTATTGAAAAATGTGTGGTTGAAAAGAAGAGAAAGAAAAATATATTTTGAAAAAAATGAGGATCAAACAAAGGCTATAAATTTTGCCAAATGGAGGCTAAAACAATATTTTGTTAGGGTTTTGCTTTTGCTTCTACTTCTCGTAGAAAAGTTCCCCGGATAATTACCTTAATTAGTTTTGAAAGCTAATTTCTGGAAAAAAAATCTTCCAAAAGAGCTTTTAAGTAAGTCACATCGACCAACTTCCTAACTCTTCTAACTAGAAGAAAAAACAACTCCGAAATACATGTAAATTCAATTTTTTTTTAACCACACATTCTCTAAAAAACTATCATTCCAAAATACTTTTTTTTTTCCCCCCAAAATCTAAATAAAATGGAGGCCAAACATGTCGACCAACATAACACCAAGGCTAACGTAAGAAATAGACCAATGTGAGCCAACCAGGTGACCAACATACATTACACTCCAATGAGATATGGATTACTAGGCAAAATAATCCAACTTAACTACATTGGTACCACATGAATGTCGCATGTAAACTAGAACAAGGATTAGTATGCATGTGTTATGTGTCCTCACAAGCACGTCTCATGTATGATCGTGGATGGACAACAATGAACTTCTTGTATTTGTGTCATTTTGCTTGGTCGTCGGTGAAGTTATTGTAAAACTATTTTTCTTAACCTTTAATTTGTTGTAGGTGCTAATATACATTGTCATCGATGTGAATGTTAAAAGTCATGTATTGATCATGACATCTGATTTTTTTTTTTTGAAGTGTAAATAGATAAATACTTCTTAATCTCAGTGGTTCCCGACACTCAGTTGTTTGTGCCTCCTTTAAGTTTTGTCCACAATTATATTAGCACTATAGTTTTTATTTGTTGCACCACATTTTAATTGCACTTAAACTCCTCAAACTTTTGTTCATTGTAGTAGTTATCTCCCTAACTCTTTTCTCAAATTCTTATCTTTAACCCTTCATTAATTAGAACATCCTGTCTTTGATGACGATTTCTGTCAAAATATTCTGTTTTCAACTTTAAAATGAGGGGGAAAAAATCGTCTCTTTTTTATTTTTTTGCCATTACAAAGGACTTTTTCGACAAAAAATGTGTTAACTAATGACAAATTAAGGATAAGAATGCCATGGGAAAAACATTGGAAATTTAAGTGCTATAATAAGTAAAGATCAATGATCTTAAGTGCAACTAAAATATGTTGCAAGCAATGAAAATTGTGACGTGAATATAATTATCGTAATACTTAATCTCAAGCAACGTGTTTTGTCCTACTTCTTTTAGCGTTTTCAAGTGTCGTATCGTTTTCTGTCTCCATGCAATCTAAGCCGAGAAGGCAAGTGGACAAGCCAAGGGGACAGGACGGTCATTTCATAAAATGAGAATAAGGTTTTAGAAGCGTCGTCTATTAGTGAATTAGGACCCAGTAGGGAAGACATGTTTTTCTACTCATGGACGAGACAAGGGCACATGGAGAGGATATTGTTTAGTGGGTCTTCAACGACTTTTCTTTCTTCAATTTATGGAGGACAAAATGGTCATTTCAACTCCCTTCCCCGCCGTACCAAAAAGTTAAATCACATTGTTTAAAATTTCAATAGCTATTTGTACAAAGTTGAGTTATAAAAGTTGGATTACAAAGTGTGTTGTCAAAATTTAGACCGTTAATTTCAAATGATTTAAAAATCTGTTTTTAAAATGATTTGTGTAAATATTATTTTGTCAACCAAATTTGTAATCAAACTTTATACATGTAACATAACTTTTCTAAGTGCATTTGGTTTTCTGTTTTTTATTTTCAATTTTACAAAATACATAAAACGTGTTCAGTTTGGTATTTTTGAAAAATGCATTTTCAAAAATGAGGATAAATTTATAACATAAAATTCAAAATACATTTTTGTTGTTACGAGTGTTTTCAGTGAAAATTCTGAAAATTCATTTTTCAATATGTATTTAATTTATTTAATCATCTGAACAATATTGTCATTAATTATTTTGCTAATTATTTAGTTACCATCAATGTATATTTAATAGATCATTTCACTTGTATGCATTCACCACATGAAACACAATTACAAACTATAATAAATACCACAAAATTTTTGTTCATGTATGAGTTTTCTGATATTAAATCTCAATTAATTAACATTCACATTCATTTAATTAATATTCATATTCATTTATGTTTTTTTAGTGTTATTAATTCTAATTATAAGTTAATTAGAATTTCATATTAAAGTTGAGTTATAAAAGTTGGATTATAAAGTGTGTTGTCAAAATTTAGACCGTTAATTTCAAATGATTTAAAAATCTGTTTTTAAAATAATTTGTGTAAATATTATTTTGTCAACCAAATTTGTAATCAAACTTTGTACATGTAACATAACTTTTCTAAGTGCATTTGGTTTTCTGTTTTTTATTATCAATTTTACAAAATACTTAAAAAGTGTTCAGTTTGGTATTTTTGAAAAATGCATTTTCAAAAATGAGGATAAATTTATAACATAAAATTCAAAATACATTTTTGTTGTTATGAGTGTTTTCAGTGAAAATTCTAAAAATTCATTTTTCAATATGTATTTAATTTATTTAATCATCTGAACAATATTGTCATTCATTATTTTGCTAATTATTTAGTTACCATCAATGTATATTTAATAGATCATTTCACTTGTATGCATTCACCAGATGAAACACAATTACAAAATATAATAAATACCACAAAATTTGTGTTCATGTATGAGTTTTCTATATTAAATCTCAATTAATTAACATTCACATTCATTTAATTAATATTCATATTCATTTATGTTTTTTTAGTGTTATTAATTCTAATTATAAGTTAATTAGAATTTCATATTAATTTCATTTAATTAATATTCATTTTCATTTATTTATTTAAAAGTTATTAATTCTAATTATAAGTTAATTAGAATTTCATATTCAATAATGCATTTCATTATTCACTTCCATTATGCTAATTAGTATCCACTTTCTCCTGATATCAATTCTTAATTAATGAACATTCTAAATCATTTAATTGATATTCATCTTCATTTACGCATTTTAGTATTATTAATTCTAATTATAAGTTAATTAGAATTTCACATTCAATAATGCATTTCATTATTCACGTCCATGTATGCTAATTAATATATTTAATTGAAAATGAAATTATATTAATTTAGCACAGATGATTTAATATTCATTGTCACGTATATATTATTTGATATTAAGTATAGATTAATTTACTTTTGTAGCGAAAATAAATATATTAGGCCATGTTTGACACATATTCTCATTCTCATTTTTTTTTTCTCTTTTTTCATTTCAACCACACATTCTCCAAATAAAATAATATTGCACACAAATCTAAAACATTTCATTACTTTTCAACTGAGTAATGTTATTCATCCCCACTGGGGATGAAAACACAGTCTACGTGAAATTAAATGATATGTGAAAGTTACCACTGTGGATGAATAATATTACTCTTTTCAACTACACATTCTTTCATCAATCACTATTTTAGAATTTTTTTTTTTTTCCAAAATGGGTGCCAAACACAAGCTAAGATTCATCAATTTTAATATGTATGTATGTATGTCAAATTTCATGGAATAAAATCAAATACTTTTGAAATAATAAATCAAATACGTTTAATAAAATAATTTTTCAAAATAATAAATCAAATACGTTTTTAACAATTTTAAAACAAATTATCAAAATAGAAAATTAAAAATGAGCTCAAAATTTCACGAATTAAACGGCTCATTAATGTTTAATGAGTTAGTTCAACTCGTGTGAGAGAGAGAGAGAGAGAGAGAGAGTTTGACCAAACTTTTAGTGGGATGATAATGACGTGAAAATCACTTTTGAAAACTTACTTTCAACCCTCTCCAACAGAACTCCTATCATTTATATAAAGGCAGTATGCAGCAGACATTCTTATACAACCTCTTAAATTCAAGCTAGCTCTGTTTAACTAGTAGGAGAACTAAACAAGAAAAATCATTACACAATATGCATGCAAGATTCCCTGAAGAATACTTGGACTTGAACTCAGCAAAAGAATTGCCTGATTCCCATGCATGGAAACCACTTGATCATCATGATCTCCCGTCAGACAGTGCATGTAAACTAGAGTCTGTTCCAATTATTGATCTCAATCACGAGAATGCCATGGAACTTATAGGATCTGCATGCAAATCATGGGGTGCTTTCCAAGTTGTTAATCATAATATTGCCATGAGCTTGCTTGATGACATTGAGTCTGCAGGAAAAAGGCTTTTCTCTCTTCCCATGCAGCAGAAGCTTAAAGCTGCTCGTTCGCCGAATGGCTTGTCCGGTTATGGGGTTCCTCGTATTTCATCTTTCTTTCCCAAACTCATGTGGTCTGAAGGGTTCACCATTTCTGGTTCACCACTAGAACACGCCCGTCGACTTTGGCCAGACGACTACCACAGATTCTGGTAATTATCATATCCTCAGTTCTAGTCCATTCATTTGTGCATGAATCTTAGCAGCAATTTTAATTTTCCCTTTCTAATTCTATTATCTCAGTTACACAATACAAGATTACGAAAAAGAGATGAATAAGCTAGCAGAAAGATTGATGTGGCTTATGCTTGGATCATTGAACATCACAAAAGAAGACATGAACTGGTCTGGCTCAAAAGGAGATCAGTTTCAAGCAGGATCATCTTCAGTTATACATCTAAACTCTTATCCAGCTTGTCCAGATCCCAACCGGGCTATGGGGCTTGCAGCACACACGGATTCAACCATTCTCACCATTCTCCATCAGAGTAACACAAATGGATTACAGGTTTTCAAGCAGGATTATGGGTGGATAAAGGTCCCTCCACAACCTGGAGCTCTGGTAGTTAATGTAGGTGATCTCTTACACATTTTGTCGAACGGGTGGTATCCCAGTGTCCTCCACCGGGCGGTGGTGAACCGGACCCAACATCGTTTGTCCATAGCTTATCTATATGGGCCACCATCAAGTGTCAAAATCTTTCCAATTCCAAAATTGGTAGACAAGTTTCATCCCCCACTCTACAGGGCAATCACCTGGGGTGAATATCTTGGGACTAAGGCCAAGCATTTTGATAAAACTCTTAGATCATTACAGGTTTGTGCTCCTGGAAGTGAATTTTTCGGGGCCAAATGATCCAAGTTCTAAGTCATGTAAAGTTGGCTATTGGTGTGAAAATATACTATTCATCATATTTGGTTTGTGAATTATAGGGTATCATTGTTAATGTTCCCTTGAGGTTGACTTTGATAGGTACAAGGTTGACTTTGATTCGATTTGGATCAATAGTGTCGAACTATTGTGCGCACAGAGTATGTTTACGCGATTATATTCATACTCAATAAACTCCGCTTCTTGGAGGATTATGGATGTCATTAGCAAACGAGAAGGAAAGAAGGAGGTGAGCCCTATGGTTAAACAACGATATCATCAAATAAAATAAAACTGAAAACGCTTGTTTAAATCGTTGGTTTGGGTCCAATTGGATTCGTCAACATTTTGATTTTGAACCGAACCAAGCCCCTGTTTGGTACAAATTGATATCTGATTATAATCTCAAGTCAAAGTCAACAATTAATTTCAACCACACATTTCATCAACTTTTATCAAAATCTACTAAAAATTTGATTTTAATCTACAACAAACAAGGGTCGAATCGCTTCGAAATGATTTTGTTTATGTTTCAATATTTGTAAATCATTTCAAATTGTCAAACAGTTTACAAAAAATTAAAAAACCAAAAATAAATTTATATTAATTTTATTCAACCCAATTAAAATTAAACATATCCCAATAAAAAAGATATATCCATATTATACATAATCCAATTAAACTTATCTAAATAGATAATTATCCATCCAGCTAATTAATGAAATCATATCCAATACCCATAAGTCCATCACAACCGTGTATGCAAAACCTTCAAATTAGGTGAAGTGTTGAACATATGTTGTTAAATCATATTCATCGACCACTTATTACCATTGAGTAGACATTAAATCTAGACTTTAATTCAAAACTCACACATTCTTTTTCTTCTACTAATATTTTTCTTGAATTTCGACTAAATTTCAAGGTCAGTTTATCCAAAATAAAATAAAATTTATAATTGTTTGCTATATTTTATTGATAGTTGTGTTGTGTTGTTTTATTTTGATTTGATTTGCGCTCGAGTACTTAAATTTTTAGTGGACAGTATTTTTTATTTATTTGCTTCTCATTTTCCTAGCTTGGTCACTCAATTAAGTATTTACGTTTTAACTTAGTTATTAGATTTTACTATTAATTGCAATAACAATTTAACTTATTCGATATATGTTATTTTTTCTTTGTTAAACCGTGATTTTGAACGGAACCAAATAGACAAAAATTGTTTGAATTGGTTTGGTTTAATAATTGAAGTGATTTGGTTTCGTTTGCAAAAATTTCAAACTACTTTAGGTGGTTTGATTTGAAAATTTGTCACAATACATCCAAATCGAATTGTATTCACCTCTAGTATGCCTTATATAAATGTTTTTGATAAGATGAGGTGTCATGTCATCAATCCTTTTTTATGGTATTTCTTATATCTTCAACTTTTTTTCATCATATACTTATTCTCAACTATCCAATATTTAGCTCATTTCCTCATTTCAAACCAATATAAAATAGAATATATTTTTTTTTATAGAAACCATAATCAATGATGAAATGTGCTAATTAATGGATGGTAGCCTGTAAGAATTCGATGAAACAATAACGTTAGAGATACTATTCAAAACTCTATCACAATTAAAATGTGATACAAAAAATAATAACACGTATCAGTGTAAGCACCCCCGTTCTTCGAAAAAGCATGCAAACTACAAAGATGTTGACATGTTTAATTTTTTTGGATATAATTTTATAAAGCAAAATCTCTCACCTTCTGGATATAATCCGCCTCTTGTTGTCGCGAAATAAAGCAATCGTGAATTGGCATGTGAAACCAAGAAGTAACTTCCATGTGCATTCTTGACCTGCGGAGTGATAGACCGTGCCCCAGTTTGTCTAAAATATTCGATACATTCACACAATAAAATATTCGATACGCAAATCTAAAATTTTTCCTTATTTTTTAATCAAATATTCTTCAAAGAAATACTATTCAAAACTCTATCACAATCCCTCTACATAAATGATTAAATTCTGTGTTAATTTTGATGTGATCTTCACTAGTTCTATTTCTGAGGTTAAATTTTGCATTTTAACAATAAATTAAAAATTAATAGTGCCATTTTCCTGAAAAAAAAAAAAAGAGGGAAACCATTGAGTTGAATTTTGAAAATATTATAAAAAAATATTAAAGTCCACGAAAAAAAATGTCACTTTCCACTTGAATCTATTTGTGTCCTATCTCCATCTTTCAGCAGAGAATTTTGGCCTTACTGTAAAAGACACATGTGGGAGTGTCACTGTGAATTGACGTATCACCTTTGTTTTATTTGTTATAATTTAATTTTTAGACAATTACGGGGATATCTTTAAAATATCTGACTATTACTAATTCATCTTTATGTCGGAGTTCCTCCTCAGTACCCCCATTGTCATTTCAATTTTCGAAATTTGACATTTTATCATCTCGTTGGCAGATCGAACAGAAGAGAGATGAAGGGGGGAGGAGATGAAATTTACGAGATTTTTTTTTTTAAAGTAAGTTTTCCCTCTTTCGGGAGGTTGTTAGGGTCGAGAGGTGAAAATAGCGATGGTTAAAGTGACAAAATAAAATGTAATGTAGCTATTGCGACTCTTTGACACTATATGTGAAGATGTTAGCATGCAAGAACTGTATGCTAAAAATCCTATAAAAATCCAAACCTACCTCTATAAAGACATGACAAAGGTTATTACCTTTTTCTTTTGAATTAATGTTGTTTTAGTCAGTAATGTTTGTTCCAATTGATACTAAGGAAAAAAAAAGTCATTCTTTAGAAAATATACTAAAAAAAAAGTCTATGGTTTCACATTTCTTGCAAAGAAAAATGATAGGTTAGCCTTCTTTTTCTTGTGTCTGGTCTTCTTTGGAAAGTCTATTGAATTATCTTTTTTCCAAATGAGTCGGTCTTGGGACAAATTTTGAACAACTTTAAAGCTACAAACCGCCACCCCTATAAGATATCATGAGTATGCTCAGTTTCATAGGGTGTCAAAGTAAGAGTAATAGGGAATAACGCGTTGTGTTGGACTGCGTAGAATTTTTTCATACTGCAGGCTTATTCATTGATAGAAGTAGATTTTTTTTTATTTTTTGAGAGGGCCAATTCTATGTGTGAGGGACATGAGAAAAAACAATAATGTAGAAATTCTACGATGGTAAATGGATGTAAAAGTTGTCCACATGCGATCGCCCCAAGGGCAAATTGAACCTATCCAATCCCATTTTTTTTTATAGAGTTTGCAGATGCGATCACGAATCGAATCAAGTCAAAACATTCTGTTGTCGACAAACAAAGCTAAAATATTGATCACAAATGAAGGAGGCCGGTTCCCTATTATGACTCTACTCAAATTAGAACTAAATCAATAATGTTTATACATAGGTGATCGGTATATTCCTTTATGTTCTATTAAAATTGAGATCAATTACGTTGTATTTTTTAGTTATCTATGTGAACTTAAATATGTCACTAGTCGAGAGAACTCATCGAATTATAGTTAGGAGAATTCCCACAACCCATCACCTATAAAACTCGTTAGTGTTATGAATGACATAAAGGCTGAGTACTTTTCATTCTATTCAGCAGAAGATAAAGGAATCATTTCATTGTGTTTGCCATTTGGAATGGAAAATTTCACAATCTAATCAAGAAACATTTTTCTATTCCCAAAATACCCTTCGACCTGCATGATTTTTGTCCCTACTTAAAACAGTGGTACAGCAACACTCCCACTAGGAAGGCAATTAATAGTGATTCAAGAAAATCAGTATAGATATCCAAAATTGTGGCTCTGATTAAAGAAAAAGTACCTCTCGGGCCATCAGTTTTGTCTTTCTTTTTAGCTCGTATGTTGTAATTCAAGGAATCTCTCATGCTTAAAATCAAGAATACACTCAATCAAGTATCTTAACCACCTTTTAGAATTGATGAATGTTTTAGTGGCGCATTTGTTATATCAGATACAACGATAGTGTAAAAGTAGTAAAGAATTATGATTTTTTTCGTGAAAATGGAGAATATCTAGAAAGATTTTGTTGGAAAATGATGAACACGATTAAAGATTAAGATAAGCTAATATATTATCTATTATACAGTATAGTGTTGTCATGGATCGTGAATCACCCATGTCGCATGTCCCAACCCTTTAGTTTTGAGAATGATTTGGAGAGACTAGTTTGATTTTCATTTCAAACTCTAAACTCTTGTGAAATTTCATAAAACCTGGCACTTGGGCAGTAGACAATGAACTCATTATGACTGAGTTTTTGACCATGATGGCATCTTTAATGCTTCAATGGATTGCTAAAAATATTTGTTAAATAATAATTAAGCAAAATTTGATAATTTTAAAAAGTCCTTCTACGAGCCTCCTCTAGCTTCAGAAGCTCTATTAGACTAATTTCTGACTCGATAAAATATATATTATCAATGCAAACTTAGATACAATTTTGTAAGAAAAGATACATAGACACTATTATTTAGTTGTAATTGGAACCCATAAGAAAAAAAATTTAGACTTGAGTGTATACATCAATATCAAGGTTTTTTTCTACCAATTGGGGCTCTCCCTTCACCACCCCCATGGGGATGGTAGACCTTAAGTCTTTCATTCAATTCATTAAGGGGTATAGCGCCGTCCTTGCCAACTTGCATGTCATCTAGATAACAATTTATGAAATGCGTTGAAGTCTGGAGATGCTATGTGTGCACAACGATTAAGAATTGGGGTGGAAAAGTATGAGTTAGTTACTTCGAAAATCTTGATTTTTTTTTTAAAAGTCTAAATGGCATGCTATATGAAGTTATACATACCCTAACCATTGAATATCCTTTCTACCATGAGCAATGTTCTAAAATGCGTAATGCGTTGCGATGCGTCGAGGTCGAGAAAAAATAGGCGGCATAATCCGTCTAGGCGGGATTAGGTTGCGCCGCCTTTTAGAACAAAAATGCATTTTCCGCGCATTCTCCAAATTCGAGGCGTTTTCTCCGCTCGTCGCTCCTAGGCGGCGCATTTTAGAACATGAACCATGAGTAATGCTATTTATATCACTGGTGCTATATCACCAGTTTAATTGACATTACATGATAAGTTCAATTAAACAAATTGCACATTTTTTCATTTGATTTAGATTTTAGAGGGGCAGGCTGCTATTCCGACATAAGGTTAGAACAACTTCTCAATTTTACTAGAATAATCTCAAAATTTCAATAATGGCTTAATTTATTGTTTATATCTGCATATAATTTTTTTTAAAATTTTTATTTATATCAAGCTTTAATTAATTCAATTTCTTGATGGTGGAGGTTGTGCCTATATGTGTATATTTGGTCTTGAATATGTATTTGTGTGGATCAGATCTCGTGTTTGTAAGTTAGTGCGTGGGGAATAGAAAGCAGTATTTAGAGAATAAAAATTATTTAAAGAAAGAATGAAAATTCAAAAGAAATGGGTGTGTTCGGCGTCATGTTCACTATTAAAAGGCTTGAATAATTAGTGGGCTCTTTGTAGAAAGCCCAATGATACGAAATCTCCACAATCGTAGCCCATAGGGTTAACCCATTGGGCCGCCAATCAATTTACCCACACTATGCCTTCTTCTCCGTTCTGAATTCTGATAATTTCATGGGGTAATTACCAAAGACCAGCTATTTAGTTTTAAATTTATAAAAAACAGGTTTTGACTTTATTTAATCAAAAATCAGATATTAAATTCACAATTAATTTTAATAATAATATTATAAAATTATATTACTCCATATACCCACCCCTACTCCCACCAAAATTTTTAACCCTAAATAATCAATTCTCTTCGC